CTTGAGACCTCTAATCTCTCGAATATAGTGATAAAACGCGACCTACACTCTTAGCCTTCGTTCTTCCTTTGCTTCCTGTGCACAATACTAACTTAAGCATCGGAGTATTCCCACCGGGTAAACTCCCCGGGAATCCTTCCTTTCATCTTCTCAGGTGTCGTCCGTTGCCAACAAGGAGCCAGTCAGCAGCCAGCTAGGAGTGCCTGGATCGTGCCGCATCAGGAATCATTGAGAAAAAAGGGTGAAAGAGAAGAGTTACCCGTACATCTTCTCCTTTCCCTAATCCTTTTCATTAAAGAATAATCACTAACAATCAGAAATTACATGTAAATCCTTAGTAATTACAAGTAAGTGCTTAGTGGGGCGGCTTGCTAATTAAACATAAGAGAAACTAAAGTTAACAGGTCCATTAACAAAACAGAACATAAACATAAAATTAAAACACAATTGTGGGCTATGGGCCATTCGGCCCATCTTCTCTACACTCCCCCTCAAGCTGAGCATAGATGTCAATCAAGCCCAGCTTGCCTGTATCATGTTGTAGCTTGGCCTTGGAGACTCTTTTGGTAAGAATATCAGCTAGCTGTTCTTTAGATGTAATGAAGGGTAGACAAAATTTTCCAGAAGCCACTCTTTCTCTGATGAAAGTCCTATAAACATCAATGTGCTTTGTTCTTTCATGTTGTACAGGATTGTGGACAATGTTAATGGTGGCCTGATTGTCGCAATACAGCATCAGTGGTGTGTCATACTCAACACCCAATTCCTCCATCAAGGATCAAAGCCAAAGCAACTCAAAAACTCCATGAGCCATAGCTCTATCTTCAGCCCTCAGCTGAAGATCTAGCAACCACAGATTGATTCTTGCTTCTCCAAGAAACAATGTTACCGGCCACCATACTATGGTACCCCAAAATCGACCTCCTATCATCAATGTTGTCTGCCCAGTCAGCATCTATATAGGCTTCCAGTTTCATGTGGCCATGTTTAGCAAAAAGAATACCTTTCCCTAGAGTACTCTTCAAGTAACATAAAATCCTCGCCGCTGCTGCCATATGTGCGTCTCTGGGGGCATGCATGAACTGGCTAATGCAACTAACAGCATATGCAATGTCAAGGCAAGTCATACATAGATATAGAATGTGCAGCCAAAGACCCGAAGGGGAAGAGAAAAAAGCTCCTTATTTGGATAAAGAAGATTAAAAGGAGACTTAAAGCCCAAAACTCTGGATGGCATACGATTGATTAGGTATGTTGCTGTGAGAACAGCATCCCCCCAAAACTTTGTAGAAACATGTGAAGCAAATAAAATGCTCCTTGCAACTTCAACTATGTGACGATTCTTCCTCTCATCTACTCCATTTTGTTGTGGAGTACAAACACAAAAGCTCTGGTGGATAACCCCAAAAGTCAGTGAGATAAGAAATGAGGTTTATAGGACCGAAATATCTTGATTCTTGTATCAAATTGGGTAAGAACAAATTCATGGAATTGTCTCACAAGTTTGGGAACTTCACGAGTTCTCATAAAAAATAACTGAGTATGTCAAGAAAAATCGTCAATGAACAAGATAAAATATCGGTAACCACCCATTGACTGCAAGTGGTACAGTCCCCGCACATCAGAGTGCACAATATGAAAAGGAAAAGTGGATCTCTTATTTATTACTCAAAGGATAAGTGCTTCTACAATGTTTTGATAACTCACATGACTCACAATGAAGACTAGATGAGTTAATTCCATTAAACAACTCTGGGAATAAATGACTCAAAGCAGAAAAGGATAAATAACCCAAACGAAAATGACATAACATGACAACTAAAAGACTCTGAAGAAGTAGACCCAAAAGCAACTCTCTTAGGTTGTCCTTGGCTTTGTCCAGGAGTATCCAGCAGATATATTCCATTCGCCTCATAGCCACTCCCAATCACTTTCTGAGACTTCAAGTCCTGAAAAACACAATACGACGGAAAAAAAGGTTATACTGCAATTTAAGAATTTAGTTAGGTTGCTCATTGACATCAAATTAGTGTGCAGCTTAAGGACATGAAGGACAGAAGTAAGGGAAAGGGAGTCAGTTGCCTTGATGACTCCCTTGCCAGAGATAGGAGCAAGAGAGCCATCGGCTAGGGTAATCTTATCACAGCAAGAAAGTAAGTCATAAGAACTAAATAGGGTAGAAATATGGTCAAATGATCAGAAGCACCAAAATATATAATCCAAGGGATCCTATGAATACCTGAAATGGTTGCATGGTTGGCAGTAGCACGTATACCTGAATAAGCAAATGCAGTACTGTTATGATTCGGCCTGCCTTGAAGTTCTATTTGTCTGAGATCAATCACATAGAGAGATGTAGAAAGGTGGAAGAAAGAGAGAGAGAGAGAGAGAGAGAGAAGGAGAAAGTCTGGTTCAAACTAGAAGTCAAAGAACATAACTCCCATTCGGCCAGACATGTGCTTTTATTATTAAAATAAATGGAAAAGACATATGTGCCCTTATTTGAGTAAAGAGCACTAGTTCTAGCATAATATAACAGATCAACAACCTTAATATAAGTATAAAGAAAGAAATACCCCTTACGCTAACACTCCCCATCAAGCTGGTGAGTATATATCATATAATCCCAGCTTGTTACATATGTAGTCCACTCTTCCCCGACTCAACCCTTTTGTAAATAAATCTGCCCACTTGTTTCCTATATTAACGTATGCAGTGTCTAGCTCTCCATTCAGCACCTTCTCCCTCACAAAGTGACAGTCA